TAATTTTGTTAACAATTTGAATGTAGGCCCATCTTGATTTTGAGGCCCTAGGCTGAAGCCTAGTTAGCCTATAGGAAAATCTGACCCTGCCAGGGATAAAACTGCCATAATAGTAACAGCTACAGAAGGTCCTCCGAATGCATAATTCTGGAATCAGAGCCAGTTCTTAAGGGCTTTCTGGAACCCAAAGAAAGTAAGCACTGTCCATATCTCTATTTTTTCCTCTCTTGATTTTTTCTTCCCTGTTTTGCACCCTAATCTGAAATGGGAAATGGCAAGAATTATTCCAACTCATCAAGATATTCCAATTTTCCCAATTTTTTCATGGTATTCATGAAGGGAAATATAAACACAAAGACACTGAAATATACCATTCATTCAACATTGTTATTTTATTATACAGAGTACTTATTATGATTGTTTCAGAATCAGTGTTATGATCTATAATTTAAAGTCTTTTTAATAATTTACCTGGCCATTATTTGTGTTGTTCCTCTTATCACAGGTTGGATGATTGATGCAGAGAGTCGTCCTAAATTCAGAGAGTTAATAGCAGAATTCTCCAAAATGGCTCGGGATCCACAACGCTATCTTGTCATACAGGTGCTGAGCATGAGTAACATGGTGTTTACTTTTCAAGCAAAATAATCAATGTGCTCCAAATGTTTTAAAATTTAAATGGACAAGTGGTATCAAACTATTTCAAAATTCTTTTATTTTAAGTGCCGGTAGGCCAGTAAAAAACATTGTAAAATAATAGTCATTTCTACATCTAAAAGCAAATATATGAATATGTCAGTTTCTTTTTAAATAATATTTTGTATTCAATACACTCGGAGTGATTCTAACTATCTAAATCAGCACTTTGTAATCCCAATTTAAACTTTGAAAGTTATGTATTATAATGGCATACATTGATCTAAAAAGCTGCATATCGATGATCAGGCTCTTGGGTCACAGATTACATTCTATCTAGATATGTAATAAATACAAAGAAATTATAATTTCAAATTTATGGAAAAGGAGTTTTATTTTAAAACCAAGAATGAGAGAAAAATATTCCATTTTAACCTATTTTCATACAGAAAGAAACATTGAATAAGCTGACTAGATCTCCCTAACCACCACTCAATTCCCTACAGAATTTTATTACCAAAGAAATAAAAAAAAAAAAAAATTCTAGCTAGAAAATTCAGGGATTTCTGCTTTGACTAAATATTTGAATAATGTATATGGAATAAAAATATTTCAGGTGGCTTCCATATCTTCTCTGGAGTCCTTGTCTAAGAGTCTTTCTTCTCAGACAATGGTGACCAAATGCTGGATAAAGTGCCTTTTATGTTTAGAGTAATTTACAGTATTTCCCAAGAAAATAGAATCATTCTTCATCTCAGTCTAAATTTATATTTTATTGTTGGTTGGTGAATATTTTTGATAGTGATATTTTAATAGTCAAGTTGTAGTAAGACTTAATGTTATAGAGGTGTAATTATTCATCCTAATTTGAATTTGTTTCTGAGTAGGGAGATGAAAGAATGCACCTGCCCAGCCCAACAGATTCCAAATTTTACCGCAGTCTAATGGAAGAAGAAGACATGGAGGATATTGTGGATGCAGATGAATATCTAATTCCTCATCAAGGATTTTTCAGCAGCCCATCAAACTCACGAACACCCCTCTTAAGCTCATTGGTATGGGACTGTTTCTAAAGTTTTTTTTGAATGAAAATACTCCAAGCAAGAAAGCAATTAATCTGTTGCATTAACATCCACAAAAGAATCTTGTATCACAGTCTTCTCCAATTTGGATACCCATGAGTTTTATATTATGAAATGGTCTAATATTCTTCATCTGTTAAAATAAATTCATGAAACATTTTTCTCTTTTACTTTAGAGTGCTACAAGCAATAATTCTGCAGTAACATGCATAGATAGGAATGGGGTAAGTAGTCAATTTAGAGCCATGGTCAGTAACTTATGAATTATTTCATGGTTGTTGTTGGGTTTGGGGTTTTTTTGCCATCCATTAGAATATAAATAAGCAAGCATTGTTTGGAATTAAAATGTCTTTTTATGTCAACAATGGAGTACTGAATCTTATTATTATTAATCTGAACTTTATTACAATTAGCAGGAACATCCAGTGAGAGAAGACAGCTTTGTCCAGAGATATAGTTCAGATCCAACAGGAGTTTTCCTCGATGACAGTCTGGATGATGGCTTTCTGCCTGCTCCAGGTAAATACACAGACTCTATTGAACCTTTGTGTTCCTCTCTGATAACATTAATCAAATGAAGAATAAGTTTTTGAATTTGATCCTGTGGGAACAAACAAGCACCATTTAAAATTAGACAATAGGGTTTATTATGTCAATCACATAAATTCCATTTAGAAGAAGGTAGATATTTAAACTTACAAAATAAATGCATAAAAATAAACAATTACCAAATAAGGTGATTGGTTATAATGGATTTTACAAACAGTAAAACAATGTAGCCACATTCAAACACAGAGATGACTAACAACTGTACCGAATAATCCAAAAATTTACTTTGGCCTTTCAACTCTGATGGACCTTGGATGAAGCAGATTATCTGGATCCCTTTCAGTCAGGTTTCAGGTCTGGTTACGGCACTGAAACTGCTTTGATCGCGCTGATCGATGATCTCTGGCGGGCCAGGGATAGAGAACATTCCTCTATCCTAGTGCTTCTTGACCTCTCAGCAGCCTTCGATACCATCGACCATGGTATCCTTCTGCGGCGGTTACGGGAGGTGGGAGTGGGAGGCAACGTCTTACGGTGGTTCTCCTACCTCTCGGACAGGTCACAGTCGGTGTTGGTTGGAGGGCAGAGATCGACCCCTAGGGCCCTCAAATATGGGGTGCCGCAGGGTTCGGTCCTGTCCCCCCTCCTATTTAATATCTACATGAAGCCGCTGGGTGAGATCATACGCCGGCACGGGATCAAATATCATCAATATGCGGACGATATTCAATTGTATCCAACTCAGCAAAGCAGTGGAAGTGATGTGCCAGTGCCTGGAGGCTGTCAGGGTCTGGATGGGAGCGAACAAGCTTGCACTCAATCCAGACAAGACCGAGTGGCTATTGATGTTGCCTCCCAAGGATAGTCCAGACATTCCACCTCTTAGCCTGGGGGGTGAAATTATACACCCCTCAGAGAGGGCCCGCAATTTGGGTGTCCTCCTGGACCCGCAGCTGATGTTAGAACACCATCTGTCAGCTGTGACCAGGGGTCTTTTGCCCAGGTTTGCCTGGTGCACCAGTTGCAGCCCTATCTGGACCGGGAGGCACTTCGAATGGTCACTCATGCCCTTGTCACCTCAAGACTGGATTACTGTAATGCGCTCTTCATGCCCGTGAAGAGTGTTCGAAGACTGCAGTTGGTCCAGAATGCAGCCACGCAAGCAATACTCGGTGTACCTAGATACACCCATGTTACACCCATCCTCCGTGAGCTGCACTGGCTCCCTATTGGTCTCCGAACGCGCTTCAAGGTGCTAGTTGTTACTTTTAAAGCCCTGCATGGTTTAGGACCTGGCTACCTGAGAGACCGCCTCCTGCCACATACCTCCCAACGGCCAAGATCTCACAGTTTGGGCCTCCTCCGGGTGCCGTCGACCGGACAATGCTGGCTGGCGGCCCCCCGGGGGAGGGCTTTCTCTGTAGCTGCGCCAGCCCTGTGGAACGATCTACCCATAGAGATCCGGACCCTTACCACTCTCCTGGCCTTCCGTAAAGCCACTAAGACCTGGCTGTTCCGGCAGGCCTAGGGCTGTTGATCAATGTCCAGCCCCACCTAGACTGAATGGATGGTGTGTAATTTTAACAATTGTATTTTTAATTTTTAAATGCTTTTTTAATCTGTCTGTAAGCCGCCCAGAGTCCCATGGGACTCTGGGCGGCATACAAATTTTATTAAATTGAAATTGAAAATTACTAAGGGGCTACAAAATTGTACATGAATTGTATTTTCAACTGTTCCTTTGTCACAAAAAATGAATCTTAAAAAATAAGGGATTTTCCTGATCTTTCCTTCAGGAATGGTTGTTAGAAGTAAGTTAAAACAATTTGAGGCTAATAGTATCCTAAATGTGGGAATGAATATTTGCTGGTCCAAATAGTTTCCTGGTCTAAAATAGTGTGATTTATTACTGAAAAGCGTATCCATGTAGAGCCAGCAAAATCTAATTATCTTTCTCTTTCTGTAATATTTATTTAAGGCTTGACATCATTAGTAATACATCCTATAAAAACCATAATTCTGCAATAATTTATCTTGCTTAAGTCCATTTAAAATCAGCCAGGATCAAGAAGATTAGCTTACATAAAAAAATGAAATAATCACATTTAAACACATCAGCTTCATGAGCACCCACATTAGACACACTTACACCATTTGGAAAATAATCCTTAGAAAATTACTTTGTAATTTCAAACATATTTGTATCAAAAGTGCCTAGTGATTATTTAATGATTTAGGTCCCTATAGCTCCTTTGCTCATTCTTTTGCTACAGCAGCTGGTACAAATAATATCCTTCCAGAATAATTAAAATAGTAGAAGTATTGCCAATGTTGGAGAATTGTTAACAATATAATCCTATACTTACCAAATGAGTCAAATAAATATTTCTATTTTAAAAAAATATTTGTTCAGTTAGGTGTTCATTCACTTATCATGCATAGAGTCTACACTGTTTGCCATATATATAATTTTAGTTTGGAAATATTTTTTCCAATGCTTCCTCTGTACAATAATCAGCCAAGACACTCATCTCCAGAACAAAATGCTTAGCTGATGAACAACACCTAAAAACCGAACTACACACTCTCACTAACGTACTGACATCCAATGGATTCCAAAGAAATAAGATCACCAACCTAATCCAAAAAGAAACCCCCACTAAAATCCAGGACAGAGAACAAGAAAACGGAAAAGCCCTCCTCCCATACATAAAAGGCACCACAGACAAAATCAGCAAAATCCTCCGCAAACACAACATCAAGACAGCATTCTGCATAGACCGGAAAATATCCACCATCCTAAGAAACCCCAAAGACAAAATTGAATTAGAAAATCAAGGAGTATATGAAATCCCATGCACCCCTTCCCCCGCCACATACATCGGACAGACCAACAGAAGAATAAGTGCACGCATTGAAGAACACAAAAACGCAATCCA